ATCAATTATATTATCTTGGTTAATCTTGTATAAAATTCACCAAGAACAACTTTTACTGCATAAATTCTGACCTTAATTAAGTAGCCAGGTCTATGTGCAAAAAAACTACTCTTAATTATTCAACTGTTTAAACATCAGTGAACTTCTGCCTGTAAATATGCTCATGTTTTTACAGCAAATAGGTAAAGTAAACCAGCTAAAGCAGTCATGCTGAAGCCACAATGCCTACATGATCCTGGACTCTGATAGAGGCTATAATTCCTTAATGGTGAATTCGAATTAGGTATTATGTTCCATATTTATTGTACTTTTTTTCACACACAGTATATATAGAAATATGTATAACAGTGCTTATGGTTAGGATGGAACATTGCACCGGAACTACAGAGCACGTGTTCTGTGTTTGACGTCATCTTCGGCGAAGAGAGAGTAAAGCGGAGAAAACGAGGAAATTATGAGAGAAGAAAGCAGAGAAATAGAAGCGCAGGAGCCAGGAGATTTAGGTGAAAAACAGAATAGCTGGCTTTCAATCATGTGAAAGTGTGTTTTTGGAATTGTCGTAGTGCCAGACAGAGAGGACCCATACTAGAGAGCTTGATTTACGACTCTGATGCAATCATGCTTCAGGAACTGAATGCAGACAAATATCATTGTCCTGGATATGTCAGCTATGTAAACCCTGCTGGGCATCATGGGAGACATGGGCAATGTATGCTGGTGAAGGAGGGATTGAAAGGTGATGCTTCACCTGAGTCACTGGAATCATGATGCTAGAGAGGTGCAGGGAATACAGATGGAGACTGGCGGCCTAAAATGGAACATAATAAATGTGGGCTCTTTAGTTACAAAGCAACAGCGGGGCTGGCTAAAAGACCTAGAGGGGATTCCTGGCAACAGGATAATTATTTGTGGGGATTTCAATGCACGGAACATTGAATGAGACAGTACTGGAGAAAACCGACAGTGTGTTGCTCTTGCTGACGCCATGGCTGATTCAGACTTTGTCTAAATGAGGAGGTCAACACTTAGCAGATTAAGGATCATTACCCTACAAAACATCTTTGGTAAAGTGCTAGAGAAGATAGTGGCGGGTAAGCTATAAGATTTTTGGAACAGAGAAATCTCCTTCCATGAGGATTGGGAAGTTACCGGCCAGGAAAGGAAACATCGTCAAATGCAGTCACTTTTGTCTCTGACACTTTCAAAGGCTTCCAGAACAGACCTGAAACAGTGACAGCGGCACTTCATTTAGAAGATGCTCACAACAGTCAGATACAGCATCTTGATGAAAGCCTGGGTTCATGGACCTCTGAACCATGTATTATAGATCTAGGACTACCACAGGGATCTGCAATTTCACCTGTATTGTTTAATGATTTTATGAGCAAGATTGCATACTTGAAAACACCTAGAGGTGGCAGAATATTGACATTTGCAGATGATGTTCTTATATTGGAAGGGGAGAGATCTGAAAACAAATAGCTGAGGAGTTACAGGTGACAGTAGATAAGGTGATCGACTGGTGTACCGAGATGAATGCTGTAATCAACACAGAAAAGGCAACCGTTCTGTGGTTTTCTTTAGACAACAGGATTGTTAGAGCTGATGTTCACAAACTTAAAATAAATGGCAGGGACATCAAAAGAGACAGCAGACTGCGGTACCTGGATCACATAGAGGGGGTTGTGACATAGGCTCAAAAAGGTCTTAATACATTAAAGAATATGGCAATGATGGACATGGAGCAGAGAATGCTGTTCACACTTTACCAGTATTTAATCATCCCAGTAACTGATTATGGACAGGGTTTACTCACTGTCTCGAAGAGCCAACTAGAGAAACTGGAGCGCATACAGAATGAAGCTATGCGGCTGATCCTGGGATGTACAAGAGAAACCCTGATTGTGTGCATGCGATGCATCCTTGCATTGCTGACTGCTGCAGATAAGCTAAAGGTGCTGTAGGCTAAGTCCTACCTCAGAGTAACTGCAAAGAGGGAACACCCTCTCTATGAAGCTTTGGCTGCAGATGAGAGGCTGACAAGGGGAAAATCGTGGATGGCTCAAGCAGAAGACAAAATAAGACAAGTATGCATGCTGGAAAACATTGGGCGAGGAGAGGAGTGGGTACCAGAGGAAAAGTCTGACCTGTGTAGGGTTATGATCACATCAGGCCGGGAGTGCAGAGTGGCCAGCGCTTACTACAGACGTAGAAGTCCAACAGTTGATTCATGACAATTCACGCTCAGGTGATCTGATTATCTATATAGATGGTTCGGTACTGAGTGGAAAGAGGGTTCATAGCGAAAGCCAATGGAAAATCTTGATTGCAAGACAGCCTAGCATACGACACAACATCTAGCATGAGAATGAAGGCGATAGGTAACTGCAGTCTCCGGTGGCTAGAGAACAAGATGCATACACTGGTAATTGTAACAGACTCTGAAAGCATGCTGGGAAAGGTAAAGGCAGAGTGGCAAGCTTCACTGGGAAGGTCACGGGTAGTGAGTATACTTTGTATCTTTTCTCCAGCCTATGCTGGTGTGTTGGGTAATGAACAGGCAGACAGATTGGCTGGATCTGCACCACTGGGTGGTCAAGGCCTTTTGGGAGCAAGCAACAAAATCAGTAGAAAAACAAAATTAATATGGCCTGAAGAGAATGAGGCACCTGGGTGTAATCACAGCGTCTGGCTCACTAAAATCAGAGGAAAGGCAAGACAGACATATAACCAGATTGTTACTGGCACCATCAGTACTGGAACTTTGCACTGGCTACTAAAGATGAGGACGGAGCAAGCATGGAAATGCCTCGAGTGCTGTGATGTCAATACTTGACTCAACTCAACCTATGCATGTCAGAGTAAAAGGTAATGGAGGAGTGCAACGAATGGTGAATAATGCACCAAGGCACATAAGAAAAAGCATGAACAGAGCTGATCAATCACATCAACACTGTAAGGCTATCCTGGTGGATGATGAATCTCTGATGCTAGCAAAACTGAATCTCAGTACGAAACCTGGTAAAGCACTTCTATGCAGTCTTCAAAGTCAAGATGGAAGCCATTATAACCACCAACTTGTCAGTTACACAAGGAGACTGAGCACACATGGCAATGCCTAGTGTTCTGCAACACTGACTAATATATAACACAATATAACTCAGTGTCCTCTTTTGCTTTTAACTATTCCCCCTTTCAGATGGTAGCCTGAAGTTTAGACACCCAGTGACATGAATGGTCACTACCTGAATGTGAATCCATGAACAGCAAATCACAGAAACCCCTGTTCAACCATAAAAAAACTGTTATACTGAGGCACCCTGATGGTTACACAATAACTTGCGGTCCAGTGATGGTGGATTGATGAATACCTGCCCTCTGTGTTATTACTTTATGTTGAATGCCCAACATCTTCAGGGTAACTGTGTTAATGTTTCCAGCATTCCCTCTCCTTTATGCCAACAATTCTGATGGCAAGGAAATTTTGAGGTTGCCACTGTCGTGCACAAACCCTCTCAATACATATTGTAACTAGGAACAAATACAAGGACTGTCTATTCCTTAATGCAGACTATGACATGTCTTTGTGATATGGCCTCTTGCAATGCATAGATATGAATATGGAATCTTGAGCATTTTATTGAGAAACTACATCTCTGTAATTTCAACTGTATTAACATATATGCACATGTACATTTAAGGCTCTGAAAGCATTATACATGTGTGATATTTTAGACAGAAGAACAACATCCCGTAAGAATCAAAACTGCCCAGTGGTCCTATTTAATGACTGTTTTTCAATGTCAGAAGACTTCACCCAAAGGGTGTCCTGACAACCAATGAAATATAAACTGTGCAGTGTTTTCAAAGTGGTGATTTATACATTAGAAATAGTAAACTGGAAGCCAGATTTATGCAGCATTCCTTGACCAAATGTAACAAGTAAGAAAATGAATGTGCAACAGCTGGGATTGATTTTAAAAATCTCAACATATATCACATGCTGTTTAGGACAGCATGAAGGTTTGGTCTAAACAGTGTTTCCCATTTAATGGTCCCCGGAATAACTTTGAGGGTCTGTGTGTACTGAAAGTATAGGGTCGAAGGCACACCTCTGAAAATAAGAAGTGCCCACTGGTGTTAGATGATTGGGAACAACCGGTCTAGAACAAAGAAAACACAGAGGCAACAAGAAACTGATTTTAAAAGACCTTCAATGACAGACGGATCTGATGTGAGCTGGAAAGATAATTGTTTGCAGTGACTTGAAGAGATAATGCCTTGCAGTGACTTGAAGTCAAAATTAAGTTAATCTGGTAATCAAATGTTAATTAGGTAAGACATTTCTCACTGTATATTTGTTACTTAGCAAATATAAATATAATACAGACCCTTAAAATGGAAGAATTGTGAAAGAATATATCAGTTTAATCATAACCATACTGTACATTGTGTACAAGTGTATTTGTTCTCCACTATTTCACAAAATTATCAGTTCCCACATAAACTAATGTTTGAAACAAATAAGTTGGCACTGTTAGTGACTTACAGCAGTTCACATTTGGAAAAGATGTGCCTTTATCTTGTGCTAACATAATTGTATATATTCTTCATTCACATGTTTCCCTTAATTCAATGTCATTATCATCAATTTCCAATTCTGCTGTTAACCAGGGTTGGAAGGGACAGTTTGTGATCTACTGCTTGATGGGCAGCAATGGCTGGCTACTGTCCTTCTGTGTCGATGTAGAAGCTCTTTAATGTCAATAAGTCAACAACGGTAACAAATTGTGTATTTCCTGTCATGGTGAACACAGACTCCATGAATAAGATATTTCTTTGTGCTATGATAACTGATTGAAGAATTAGAATATGGGGCATTCTATCAATGCTCAGTCTCCAACAATATCTGATGGTGAAGATGCTAATTGTTGTCAGCAGAACAATTGCTGTACACATGCTATAGCCTCCTTTCATGCTGTATCACTATGTTGACAGAATCAAACACTAGTCATTATCCTGAACATATTAAAGTCAATGTCCTGCCTCATCACACCTGTGAGAACAAACTCTGCATTGTAGACAGGTATTTTTTTGTTACGCAGGTCTTGTGACAAATGTAGATCATTTAGGCAAGTAATTACAATGATTTTCGGGTGTCCCTTTTCATCCATGGATGTAGCAATTTGTTTAACTGATGGGCGTTTCTGAACCACCGTACCGCCTGCACTCTGGATGATACTGGTCATCTCACAGACTGGTGGCACCACACTGGGAGTTATATGGAAGACAAGGTCTTGAAACAGATGTCGTATTTGAGCACGTCTCAGAGACTCCATTATGTTGCAGCCCAATGCTGCCTCTCCCTTTTCATCTTTAAGAGCATAGGGAGTCTCTTCAAGAAATCTGTCTTGAGCTGCACTGTCTTCCAACCATTTCTTAGTGAGAATGAAGTGACAGCAGTTTATAGCCACAAAAAATTTGATAGTTCTGGCCAAGCTAGGACAAACCAAGTGTGTGCAATGGCATGGGTTGTTGACTGTTACACCACCAAGTTTCTTCACTATGGCCTCAAGTCTGGAGGTCAGTGACTTTGGATACAGTGTGAACATTACTCTTGGTGCACCCACTTCTGCTTCTGGAGCTGAGGATGCAGTATCAACTTTTAATCTTTTTGGTGGCGAGGGTCCACTTAGACGTCTGTTTTCCTGCCCAAAAGAAGAAATACTTGGAGCAAACTTTTTCCATGTCTCCTTATTAATCTTTAATGATGTTTTCCAACCGCCCATTAAGTGAGAAACACGGGTTAAATCCATATGAAATTCTCGCCCCTGTCCAACTTGTAAATAGCGAACATGAACTGGAAGCCTTAGAGCATCCATATTACCTAGAACCAGATCAGACAGCCATTGAACATTAACAACTGCTATTCTCCACTCCTTTGCTTTCTCAAACTTCATTCCGCCAGGTTTCTTACAAATGAGAGCTGAGTTATGATGTGTCATGTAGCCAGTGTATTTAGCACCAATGGCATTAATCATTTGTTTCAGTCTGACTCTTTCCTCACCATCAAAGTTTGTAACACTGATCATCTGGTTGAAACCAGGCTTCTCAGAGTTGAAAGATAATGGCAGATGCAAGGCTTGCCATGGAGGAACCATCTTTTTCTGCATCAAACAATCATTTAACCAGAATGCTGAAACTAAACGTTTTCCTTCCTTCTGGGCCACTTTGAAAACATCTGACTTCTGATTTGCACACAGGACATGGGTAACTCGACTACTGTAGGATGATTCCACCTGGCCACCATACTGTTCTATAACCTTCTGCCAAGCATTCAGTTCATCGCTTCCTATTATACTTTGATAATCTACAATACAAAATATGCAACCAAGTAGGCACAAGTCAGGAGGCACGTTCTCCTTTGGGTCATGCCCATGGTATAATGCACTAGACTGGGATCTGTTGGGTGTGCTCACAGATGACTGGGATGTAGCTGGTTGTTGTACAGGATGTGAAACAGCTTTTGGAGGAAATGGGTAGTCAGGAGGTGGTGCCTGGGGTGGGTTGCTCACAACTACTGGAGGAACATGGGCGACATTTGATGTACACGGCACTGAAGCTCTCACAGGCATGCTGACTGGAAGAGCAGCAGCTCTGTTTGTTATATTTCGCAAAGTGTTTCTGATGTTTGGTACCTCATGTCTCAGATGCAGTCCCATCCCCAGTGATGGAACAGGAGATGGTAATCTAACAATACCAGCAGAACCAGGTGAACCAAGAGAATGAAAGGAAGGCATTCCTGTCTTTTCTGGAGTGGCTGGTTCTGATATCATTATGTTGACTCTACTGCTGATTTTCCTGGCTAAAGCTTCCTTAGCATTCGGCGTGTCAGGCCGTGGGGCTTCTGATCTATCATCTATGGGATAAGGTCTATGTGCTGTGATGTTTGTAGCAGAATGGTACTGAATGTTATGGCTTGCAGAGATAGAAACATCCATGGGTTCAGAAACTGATGGTGTATTATCTGAAACCTGAATCTGTACATCATTTTGACATACAGACTCAGGAAGTGGAGTTGGTGGCTTTGGTTTGGGATATTCTACCAAATGAGGGTGGTAAATCTCTTCGTCTTGTCTTTCATTTTTAGCGATGGTGTCTGTGACCCAGTCAGGTGTCACAATATGTACTTTTTCTGTATGTTGTTGAACACTCTCATACTTCAGACCCTCTGTGCAGGCCGTAATGAGATGTGTCACTGCATCATCCAAATCCAGCTGACATCGTCCACCATGGTAAACAATCATGCCCCATAGTGGAAGAACATCTTCACTCTCCAGTTCAGAAGGACAGGCAACAACACCGGAAAACAAACGCCCCTCCAAAGAAAACACTTCTTTGGGAAGCTGTCTTCCGCATTTTACCGAAAGAACGACCCAGTCGCTAGTCACTATAGGAAGTTCGAACAATTCTTTAGCTTCTGAATAATCATCCGATGTTGTACTGTCAGCAATAACGTGACTAACCATCTCGCTAAGGTAGGAGTCTCGTTTGGCGCCATGTTTTTCTAGCAAACTTGTCACACTTTCACTGATATTTCCAACAATATAATAAGTAACGTCCTTAAAAATATCCTCACATTTTCTCTTACTACTCTCTGTATCGTTCGTCATTGTGCTGCTTTAACTATATAATAAATCCACCAACAAAAACATCGTTTTAGCTGACAACTTCCGAAGCAGAACCGCAGATCGCCGGCATCGCACCAAAAATCGCTGTTTTCGCATAATCAGACCTGTTTCCTGTTGTCGTAAAAAATGAAGTCGTAACATTCACATTTTGTTGAAGGTGCCACCTATCTACTGATCTCCTTTACCGATTATTTGAGGTCTCGTGTGTAAAGGTTGCCTGCCTGGGTCTCCAACATCCACTGTCTCTCTGCAAGAGACTTTAGCTTGGTTGTACAATCTCTGAATATGCTGTCTATCAGATACGGGGGTTCTAACAACAATTACGTGCAATGAAGATGATCTCAGAAATGAACACTGAGCAATGAACTCCAATGAGCAATAATAATAGTAATAATTACAATAATAATAAGAAAAAGGAGAGGGCCCTAACCGTTTGAGGTCCACCCACTCATAAAAAAAAATATTTCTTTAATGGGCTTAAGCTTTAAGTAAACGTAACGTCAATTTCCCCAAACATGTAGGTGGATAGGTGGGTAGGTAGATAGGTAGGTAGGCAAGTTGTACACAACCAGGACATCACACAAGCGATAAACACCTGGTGACAGAAAGGGCCCCTATGCAGATGAGGGTGGGGGGGGGGGGAACCAGTACGCGTAAAATTGTGGTGGGTGATGTGTGAGTGCTGCCCGTGTGCTTGAGCCACAGATTCCGGTGCCTGTGTTTCAAGTATATTAATTACCACATTTATTTTTTTTACTCAGTACATTATTATTATTATTATTATTATTAATTATTATTATCATTATTTTTATTATTATTATGCTGAATGGTACATAAATGTAATCAATCAATCAGGTGCCGTCTTCACAATGAAGGTTGGCTGCAATGGATCTCCAACACGCCCTGTCTTTGCCCTTGATGTACACTCACTCATACTGCTGTTCGTCCATCTCTTGATGTTATCCTCCCACTTGTAACGCTGTCTGCCTATTGCTCGCCTACCTTGAACCTTTTCCTCTAGGATGATCTTTACAATACGGTTATGTCTTTTAATGTGGCCAAAATATTTCACTTGTCTCTTTTTTATTTCACCTAGCAACTCTCTTTTCATTCCCAATTTCCTCAGTACCTCTGTATTTGATAGCTTTTGTTTCCATGAAATACGACCTAATCTTCTGTATATCAACATCTCCAAAGAATTGATACGATTTTCCAGTTTGCTCATTGTCCATGTCTCTGTGCCATACAGTAAGGTTGAGAATACATAACATTTGACAATTCTCATTTTTAATGTATTGCTTATTTCTCTTGATGTCGGTAACTTTTGCATTTTGTTGAAAATGTTTTTGGCCATCCCTATTCTTTTCTTGACTTCTGTTTCACGTGTTATTACTTGTCTAAGATATAAGATTAACTTGTTCCAATTTCACCCCGTTCACTGTGATATTCATTGTTAGCTGATTATTTTTTTTTTTTTTTTTGTGCTAAATATCATAGTTTTTGTCTTTTTCAAATTAATATCTTATCCAAATTCTGCACTCCTTCTGACATAAATGTAATACAATTCTTAATTCCCTTCCACAATTATTGTGAAAAGGGAATTCTACACCCCTAAAATATTTTGGTGGGCGCCCTTCCTCCTCTTTCCTCTGCTTTCCCTTAGTACAGTTTTATAACAGAGTTGGATTTATTTCCCGTATAGAATAAGGAGATGGCTGCTGTCGAGTTGTTACACGGGATGATTAAAGTCAACCTTGAAACCCGGCGAGAGGAAATATAAACGGACAACGAAATACGTTTCCAAAGTTTTGATCTTTTCTAAATTTAATTTTACGTTAATCCAACTATTGTCACCGTTTAGTCATGTTGATTGTTTCTTGGATAACGTATTCCTGCTGTTTTGCTCGTTGATAAAATTACGACTGTAACGCTCTTTGATTTAGGTGTGATAGGTACTTTTTTGCAAAGATTACTGGTGATTTCTCTCCTTTCAGTCATATCTTTATGTAGAATGTATCTATAATAAAAAAAACTACACTATGTTAATTATCTTGACTATCTTCAGTTCAGCAGAGAACATGTTCTCCTAATTTCCATTTGATTTCCATTACATTTCATTATCCTGTGTTGCCATTATTTAACACATAGAGCTCTAAGTCTAATCCTCTATTTAATGTTATCCCCTCCATCAGTTAAATAATAACATGGATGGAATCCCGCCCAACAGTTTTGGCCTCTCTCATTAACGTTCGTCTTAGTGTTTCTTTTGCGCGTCCTCGTCTCAGCCACCCCCCCCCCCCTTAAAAAAATGAACATAAAATGCCTATTTGGTGATTATCTGCTGATTTCTTCTCAGGATAGGCCTATGTCCAATGTAGAGCCATCTGCTCTGTCTTATAGCGGTTAATGCTAGTGGTTGCCCAGATATGTCTCCTATTTCTTCACCCCCTTTTAATTCACAATAAATATATTTATTCGTTGTGTTTAGATTGATTTTTTAAATGATTTTTATTGTAAACGAAATGTTTTGTTTAGCAAATGTGGATGATATTTTTACATGTCTGTGTTCGGTAAAGTATGGAGGCTTCCAGTGGAGAAGAGATGCAAGAATATCGAGAAGATAGGTAAAGAATGGAGACTAGCAGCAAAAGAGAGCTGCACTTAGTGCGCTCGTCTGGCGATGTAGAGGAAGTCAGACGAGATGGTGTACCGAGGCAGATACAGAATCATCAAACACCGGTCATTATCTTGATCTGTGTCAGAAGTGTCGATACTTGGAGCATATGCCCACAAGACGAGCACAATTACTTGAAACAGTTTCGCAGAATTTACGAGGAAAAAGGGTTAGTAGTGTAATGGCTCTATTGTTATTATCACTACCATCATCATCATCATCATCATAACCATCATCATAACCATCATCATAACCATCATCATAACAATCATCATCATAATCACCATCATCGTCATCATCATTATCATCATTAACAATACAAAAAACAGTAAGAACAACGGCCTAAACAGCACAATGTACCTTGTCAAAAAGCGTAAAAGAGCAGCATAAGTCACCTCAAACGATCATCAGTGTCACGGATCAGGTGTTGAGTGAGTGACATTTAACCCCACCAGGGCATCACACATAGTTCTTTTAATGGGTCACTCCCCTTTTAAAATGTTGTTTTTGCAGTCTGGTCTTGATTGCAGATCCACAGTCATCATTTCCTTCTCACTTACTTCTCATAGAGGATTCAGGATATCAGTCTGCTCCATCTCACGTCCGCTCTTCCCAGCAGCTTTACCTGCAGGCCTATCAGCTCGCTCGCTCATTTCCTTGCCTAGCCTAAATGCCCTGGCACGAGTATGAAACCTATAGTGTTAGATCTATAGGGTGGAGGGAAAATAATACTACTGACAGTGGGTTGGTGGAAGTCGGTGGGTCGGGTATGGGGAGGGGGGGGGGGGTGAATGTTGAATACTGAATTGGGAATCGACTTCGTAGCACTCGGAACACTCCCATAAGCACTCCATTCACATATTTAGCAGCAAGCAACGATGGCACCAGTAACTGTCTGATTGTGACTCTGTTTCGCTTTTCCTTTAGTGTTGAGCGTCGGGCTGGATTCCTACGGCAACTCCTCGAAGTGCCATTCTTCTGAGACTGTAATAATCTCTTTTTGTGCCTCCACACTGTTCACTCGCTCCCAAAGGGCCCTCACAACATCTAGCTTGTCATACATAAGCTCAACACCAAGTGGTGCAGAACAAACCATTCTATCTGGCTGCTCGTTTCTAAATACACCGACATGACCTAAAAATATATTAAAAAGACGCTAACTACCCTGGACCCATTAAACGATGCTTGCCACTCTGTATACCTGTCTCTACCTTTCCCTACACGCTCTGTGAGTCAGATACAGTTACTTTATGTGTGTGCAGCTCATTCTCAAGCCAGTGGAAGGCAGCAGTGACTGCCTCCACCTTCATTCTCAGATCAGACTAGACCTTGTGATATCATATGCCAGGCTTTGCTGCACAAAGCAACGTCCATTCGCTTTTGTTATGAACCCACGTGTACTTCGTCTGCGTCTCAACACAGAATTATCTGTATAGATAATTTCGTCACCTGGGCGGCAATTCTCATAAATCATTTGTTGAACTTCTGATTCTGCAGCACCAACTCGCTAGGCTCTGGACTCACGACCTAAAGTGATTAGACCTCTAAACAAATCTGTGTCTTGCTCGAACACTTTGACCCACTTCTCGCTTCGCCCAAATTTATCATCCGCACACACGTCTATTAGAATTTTCAGCTTACGCAACCCTGGACCTTCCTCTTTTTAGTCTGTGACCCTTAGCTGCGCCTAGGACTGCATGCAGGGAGATGCTTTCTGTCTACAGCTGAGATATGACTTTGCTTGCAGAAATTTGAACCTGTCTGCAATAGTAGGCAGTGCAAGCATATATCGCAAACATACTACTGGGGTACATTTTGTATATCCCAGAATTACCCGCATTGCTGAATTCTTTACGTGTTCAAGTTTTATTAGTTGACTCTTTGATATGTTAAGCATTCCAAGTCCATAATTTATTGCCGACAGGATTACGCTGTGACAGGCTTCTATTGAAAACGATGAAAAGGTACATTAGTTTGCTTTTTCTTTTGATGTTTCAGTCAATAATTGTGGGGCTTGACACATAACTCTTACAGTTCTATTGTTCAAAGAGCACCACAAAACAGCCGCCTTTTCTGAGTTGATGACTGCGCCCCTCTCTGCACACTGGTCAGTACTTTGTGTACCTTTTCGCACCCCTGTCTGTATGCAAGAACATCATCTGCAAATGTCAATATTCTTCCAAAACCTGGTGCTTTATGTTCTGCAATCGTGCTTATATACACAT